CCTCATTACAGTCTCATAAAAATACATACAAAAACATACAAAATTAGGCCTACCGTACCGCGGGCAATATAAAATACAATATAAAGTTATCAGGATAAATACAATTGCATCCAAATTTAACAATTCTATAAATATTAAAAATTGATAATATAATTTGTATATATATGACACTGTTATATAGTAAAATTTATCATCATCACATCACATGGTCTTTTATCTACAATTATCGGCAATAATAGGCAACAATAGAGATCTAATTAACTTCCGTATTGTACCATAGAAAATAAAACTTAATTGTCTTTGATGTATTTACTTTCATGTACCTACTCCGGTGCCGAAAACCAATCATATACTTTTTATCATACTTCTCAAATATAATAAAGGCACGCGCACTCGCATATAATTCAGATGTTAGTGGGCAGAGATACTGGAATCTTGCTATAAGATAAGATGTACGGTACTGTACTTTGGCTGTAGCGCTCTTTCGTTAAAACCTGGGTCATTAATTATTCAGTTCAATTTAACAACTTTCAGGCATCTTCTTTACTTATGAAATTACGTTGCGGTCGAAAAGTGAGTGTTACCAAAACCCCCTTTAAAATATGTAGGGGACGTGTCCCCTGTCTCCCCATGATCTGCGCCCATGCTGGTTACCAGTAGAACCACTACCCGGTCCCATCAAGGGGCGGACTTGTACAACACCATGGTTGAAAAAAATGGCTCCTCTGCCAGGAAATAGCACATACATAAGCCTACTTTACAAAAATGCATGTCCCTCACTTTAAAAGGGTGATAAAATTTGATTGCAAGTAATTAGGGCCGGCCTGACAATTAATACCTTTGTGTCACATAACAGCCTATATACTGATTCCACCGAAGTCTTTTTTTCGATTCTTATCCTAAAATCATCAACCTAATAATAATTATCGACATCATCATAACCACCACCATCATCATCACCATCAACATCATTAATATCATTATAACCACCACCACCATCATTATTATTATTATTGTTATTATTATTATTATTATTATTATTATTATTATTATTATTATTATTATTATTATTATTATTATCATCACCCTCATTATCATCATCGTCATAAAGGAATGGCGCATTAGAAAAACAAATAATGAATTGTTTTTTATACCACTCCAGGTGGCGTTCTACATAATATACCGTAAGCATTACTCAATGGACCACGAAGAAGACTTTGCAATTAATAACAAATGTGAGTAATATCGTCGATTTTGGATCGAATTCTGCTATCGTTTTATGGTTATTGTTTTGTTAGTAAGTTAGGCAACCGCATTGAAGGCATTGACAATTTCCTCGACAGAAGCATACACTAGCATGGTTGCATTCTATTCAACAACATAGACATTCCAAGTGACTATAAAGACCTGAAACTGGCTAAAGAAAGGTTATTTACAGTAATTACAGCTTGGGGCTTGTTAACTTCCGTTTGTTGTTTACATTGTAGATTCGTATCTGTTTTTTTTTTCATTTACATTATATGCAATTTATTACCAAGAGTCTATCGAAAAACCACAATTCGTCGGAGAGAAAAAACATTTAAAAAAATTATATGTATTTTGTACATATTAATAGACTATAAATTCGATTAAACAAGCCTTTGAAACCCCTAAATTGTCATATTTAAAAGGTTGTAAGCGACGCCTGACCACGCCCAATTTTTTCTCATCGTCGACATCAGCCCCCCTCCCCCTGTCGGGGACCTTGGAGACAGCCTTGGACCCCTCGTCGGGGAAATCCTGGTGCCGCCACTGTCTGGTGCACAACTTGAATAATCGAAATTTGTTATAGCCCAACAAAATACTGATATAAATATCTTAATGGATGTGTACTTCCATGGTGTCGATATCAAATAAAGCTACTACTGTAGTGACGGATCCAGAAATTCGAAATAGAGGGGATCCAGGGGGATTTCACATATGGATTTATGATTATGTAACTCCATGGTCCATAGGCCTACTCTAGATGGCCGGAAACGACTTAAATATGAATACAATTTAACAGGAAACGCTTATGGCGCCCCTCCAAAAGAAAGTCGAAATGCGCAGGCGCGTAACAGGGGGGGGGGGGGGGGGGGGGGGGGTGGAAGGTAATAATTTTCCCGGTTAGTAATTTATCATACCCAACCCACCCCCTCCCCATATAGAAAACAATACGACATAGGGTTTATCTTATTTATAATATAGGCCACACACGTGTGTTTGAACTAAATATATACATTTTCATCATGGTTTTATTTATTAACATATTCTTTCACTATCAAATTGATCAAATTCTCCCTAAAATGTGCAATTTATAGAGGAAATTGGCCTACCGTAACAAGAAATGCGCGCGAAGCGCGCGAAATTTGAGGATTTTAGGCACTTTCAGAGGATGAAAGGGCCATTTATCAAGGGGTGGGGAAAGATTTTCCAAAGATGGATATTTTCCCCTTGTCCCCCGGTGTTTTTAATTCTAATTTCGTCGAAATTGATCAAAAATCCCTAAAATGTGAAATTTTTAAAGGAAATCGGCCTACCTTGACAAGAAATGCGCGCGAAGCGCACGAAATTTGAGATTTTTAGGCACTTTCAGGGGATGGTGGGAAAAATTTTCCAAAGATAGATATTTTCCCCTTGTTCCCCGGTGGTTACGCCATCTGGCAGCTTAGATCAAAGAAGTTAAGTGGAGAAGAGGTTGCAGGGTGTTGTGAGTCTGGTCATTATAATATCTTCCTTTTTATTCTTGTCTTTATTTTTCTCTCCTCTTTTTCTTTTCCTTTTTCCTTTCCTTTTCTCTTCCTCTTCTTTCTCTTTCCCTCCCTCTCCCCTCTTTCTTTTCTCTTATTACCCAGCCCGGTACTGCGGCTAGTTCAGCCCGGTAAAAACCGTCAGGGGAACAGTCTGCCCCTGCCCCCCCCCCCGCCTGTTACGCCACTGTCGAAATGTGAAATACTTTGTTTATCTTTCAGCTCATGACAGACAAGAGCGTATATTTAAATTGGACCTCGTTGGAAGTGGGCTGGACTCCAGTCTAATGGGCGTTCCTGATGCTCGGTAATTTTTACTTTTCTTTATCTCAATCCATTTGTTATTTTGCTTGTGCATGTTGAGCATCGAATAAATTCAATCAATCATTCAAAAAATATTATATCATGAAAAATGTTTGTATGAAGATATCGTTATAGTATTATGTTTATTGTTTGAATATACTGTATTTATGAATCTATATATTCATTTCTATCGAATAGTACACTTTTTATAAATTGTATTTGCCCATTACAATTGGAATGCTAACATAATTTGTTAGCGCTATTGCGATCTACTTGTCCTACCCAATACCATGTTTTTAAAAATCCTCACATCATTTCGTAATATGATGATACTATAATCAATATTTAAAATAAAATATGATAAGAATTGCGAAGTACTATTATGTTGTATCAGCAGCATTGTCCATTGCGATAACTGAATACAATAATGTTAAGGTCGGGGTGCTCACTAATTTTTTAGTGGCGGATTTAAGGGGGGGGGGGATGGGGGAAGCCGGCCTGCCACCCCCCCCCCTAAATCTTTTAAAATGGTAAAATATTGGAGAAAAAAAAATACATTCAAATTTAAAATCTGAGAGGGCCCCTCTATTTCAAACTCCTGGATCTGCCACTGTTTTTATTTATATATTATGTTGTGATGATACTCCATTATAATTCTTTCTCTGTTTCTTAATCTTTTCTTAATATTTTTCTATTCCAGTGATGTAGACAAAGAAGCCACAACTATCAGAAAAGAATGTCCGGACTGAAAGGGCAACAGAATTTCCAATTATTCATTGATAGTAATATTGTATTATTACTGCTAATGTTTATCTTATTAATAAAGTAACCCGTTTGTTGTGAAGAATATAGACATGTAAGATAATATGATATAACATTTTGAGGATTAAAACCAGGCCTATTGATTTTTGCTGGATAATGTACATGATATAAACCTACAATATATAAATATAAAATGTATACATATATCCCAACTTGATTTCAATGCTTGAAAATAAATATCAAATGGAATTGTGCATCTCTTTTCATCTTATTTAATGTCTGTGTTTACTGTAATAAATAGCTAAAATATCCTTATTATAAGCTTAAACCAAAAGTGAAGAATTGCTTCATCAATGTCTGCTACTTTAATTATTAAACTAGCAAATCTTTTGAGGACGCCCTCAACAAAAACATAAAACCGGAAATGACGTGGTTGCTAAGCAACAAGCTCATGCATAATCATGAATATTCAGTGCACCTGTTCTAATTAGACTAACAATAAAATCTTTTTGGTCGATTTTGTCAAGAGCTAAAAGTTTTTATTGTTAGTCTAATGAGCACAGGTGTTACTGAATATGCATGAGCTGTAGCCTAGCAACCGACGTCATTTCCTGTTTTGTAAAATTCGACAGCACCTTGCTCTGATAACATTTTCGAAATTTGTTGATCATGTGAATATATTTGGAAAGAGTGTTTATAAGATATAGTAGCCTGTAGTGCTATATTCGAATTCGAAGTGTTTGTAATATATTTAATTCGATTATATACTGATTAATAATCATGAAATATATATTATTATTAATGCAATTACGACAAAAGGAAGTACACACAATGATGTATTATAAATTACACTACAGTTTACTTTTATTTCTTGCATACTCGGAAATGTTACATCAGAAGTATATAAACGCAATATAAATAGAATATAAAGATTCTAGTTTTATATAATATAATATAATATAATAATGCTTAGGCCTAATTATATTTAAGTATGTAATGTCGTTCGAGAATTACTTGTTCATTGTATAAGAAACATAATTGGCAAATTTTATTTAATTCCGGCGATCCAGTGATATAAATCATAATAAATATCCGCGCACGATCATTTGTAGAATTAAGACCTCATAAATCCGGCTATTGATAGCATCTTGTGCTGTCTCTTATACACATCTAGATGTGTATAAGAGACAGCTGCTATCGTTACACCAGTCTTAAAACAATTGCTGATTCTGATTGGAAGTTAATGTATATATGGATTAGGTTAGAACAGTCACCGCCAATCAGAATTATGAATTGGTTAAGACTGGTGTAATTATTACCGTATATTATAGCCACGCATGCCTTTCTAATATTATAATATGAGTCAATCCTTTAAGTGGCAAAGGTCTCTCTGCTTAGCGGCTCCAATACAGCCAGGAATCTGTAATATAATCGGAAGAAAAAAAATCCACATACCTAGAAGCATATTTTGTACGTCCTTTCGAACCTTTTCAACCTCCACAATAATATGTCTTGGTGGTATGCCCAGGGCGGCAAAACAGGCTGTAAGGGCGCCTAGACTTGTGCCAGCGTACCTCGTACATTGTTCCAATATTCCAACTTCATGCAATACCTAAATAAGAAAAATTGCAAATATATATATATATA